TGAATATTTCACACCTTTCTTCTTTGAAAGGAAGCACTAAATTAGGCCAAAAATGAGGAATTTAAAATTTCTTAAAGAAGGCGAGAAATAAAAAAAACTGACCAAATTTAATAGTTAAAATGGACTCCCTAAGATCTATGAATTTTATAGTAAAATCGAGGCTTTTATACTGTGGCGCTTTTCAAGCGGACATCCAGGTTATTGAATTACTAGTCAATTTTATGCTTTGATTAGTTGATATTTTAACATTTTATTCCTTTACGCCACCAATGCATCTGAGAATTCCTCCTGTTTCAAATAACTTCACATGGGCATTTGTTTGGATCCTTCCATTTCATTGTCGATATTTTTGATGATCGTTTAGCATTGCGTTGCCACCATTCAACAACTTGCTTCAGTCATCTATTATATCAAATTTCTTTGAAAAAATGATGTTAGATGATACAGGATTCTTCAATATTTCTTACATGTATTTCTTTATTTTTCAGATACGATACTGTTCACCATCAAGAAATAGCTGCCCCCGGGGATACAGTTGCCAGTACAGTCGAACTGTTCAACGAAATATTTGTTGCGGTCGTCCCGGTTCCTCCGGCAATACAGCGAACAGACCGGTTGTTCGAACACGAGCAAAACCAAAGATAGACGTCTGTGACAAAGGCACACCATATATTCTGAAAGGAGTTCCACAGACATGTACCGCAACACCATGTCCAACTGGCTATGATTGCATATTCTCCAGAAAAGCGCGAAACTACTTTTGCTGCGACAAGAAAGCAGTTAAAGGTTGGCTCTTTTTTCCGTACATTTGCCAAAAACGCTAATGCGAGTCTGATAATCGGTGTGAGGATTTTATATTAGAAAAATATTACTGGGATATTTCCTTGCATTGGACACAACTACGATGCACACCTCCAGTTAGTATTCATCGCCTATTCCATATATGTACGCCACTTCTTCGGAACTCGCCCGAATGGTTGTTTACCAGTTATTATGCGTTTTGTGCTGTGTAACAGCAGTACAAAACGCATATTGTTACGGGGTTGTCTG